CGTCAGGTTCTGCTGCTTTCTCGCTCTTTATTCGTCCGATGGTCATCCCGATTTCTTCCTTCGCTGGTGGAGTGACGTTCATAGGAAGATCTGTGGATGCTTCTTCAATACCCGTTGGGTGCAGTGAGGCTGGCCTATTCAAGAGTTCCTCAAAGTGCTCTGCCCGTCTGTTCCTCTTTCCTTGAGTCTTAGTAATTGTCTTGCCTTACTTGTCTTTGACTGGTCTCTCTGGCTTACTATACTTCCTTGCCAGTTTCTTCGTCGTGTCATATGGCTGTCTCATACTTCCTTCTTTTCCAGCCTTTTCCGCTGTTGTTGCTAGGTCTTTCACATATTTCTGCTTGTCGGGTCTAATGTTCCTCTTCAATTGCTTCTGTGTATACAGTTTGTTTCTTGGCTTTCTCTGCTCTTGTTCAGCTATTGTTAATTGCCGTTTCGTTCTTCCTTTCTCGAATCTTGTCTAAGGTTTCTATAGAGATCCATTCCTTATGATGATGTCTGATGCGTCACAGAACCTCCTGATACGTTGAAGTTAATTTTTCCATGCTCATATTTGCTACCATAATAATAAACCTAATCCTAAAATTGTAGATTTGTCATGATGTGGCCACCTTATCTACAAGATCCCACGTGAAAGTCACGCGATTCCCTTTTCTAACTCGTTTTGTCGTGACAATCACCAATATGACATCTATCACCGTTGATGACACATTTGTGCCGGGCAGAAAGTAATACATTCAGTACAAAATGCATTAGGTTTTACGTAGTGACCACACTTGCAAGGTCGAGTCATGCCATTTCGATTCATTGCTTCCGTGTTCACAATTACTAATTTTTTCTTTGTGTTAGATGCTGAGTGTGACTTTTCTCAGTCATCTTGTGTTCACCCTCGAGTATCGTGTGGTTAGGACTGATACCACTACACCACTCTTCCACTAGATTATCTCACTCCGGAGGTTACCGAGAATAATAAGAAACGTCCTGGTATTGATGAGCTGAAATATAAATCAAAAAGGCGTCAGCAACTAATCAGAAAATAGACGTAATAGCCTTAAAATATCTGTTTTATCGCTTAACAGGCTGAAAAGGAAAATCTAAGTGGATTATATAGTTGATATGATAATTAGGATTATTTGAGCTATAGCACGATCTAAGAATCCCAGAAATAACGCAATTGGATCAAGAAGTGCTAGATAAGCACGAACGAATATACTATATTTGGATTTCGAAATCATGTGTTGGGGTAAATTCGATAGTGTTTTCAGTTCGTAGGATATTTACTCGATTGCCTGAACTGATGAGCTGTATGCATGATTGTGTCGCGAAACCTCAAATCAAACTGACGAGGCTTAAAGGTATTTTCTGAATGAGCAACCGATAGGAAAGCATACTGTAATCACCTGTGATGGATGAGGATAACGAGAAAACAACACTATTTGATGACAATTACAAGTCAATTTGTTGACTGATTTTGTTAACAGTTTCATCAATCTTCTCAATCATATTGCGCAATTATCAAGTCATGAAAATGACTTATGACGATATCCTGAAACCATTATGTTTAACTATTCATGGTGTCTTCCTACTATCAACTTGTCCTTTTACCTAATTTATGTGTAGAGACTTATTCTATTTCATTGTGATTATTGACCCATATTGCATTGATTGGTTTAAAATTTTCGCATAAATATTCATTTATATTAGAGTAAAGCCTGATGACGATCTAATTGAAAACAATTGTTCGCTTATATGTGTTGTTCTGATTGAGGATTAGCTAGTGGGAAATAGGTATAGTTGTCTTGGATGATTCTGAAATAGCAGTCTGTAGCGTTAACGAATCCGAGCTGCTTGATTATATTATAAATTGTAATTCAAAAATACTCGTCTATATAAAGGAGACCCTTTTAATCTTGATTTTTGTTCGGTTCAGTCGAACGATACAGGACTCACAATTGCGATAACCCACCTCATAAGCAACATTCATGAAGAATCTCCGGCTGTACCTGACAGCCAGCCTGAAAGGGTAAGATTTTCGGAACACTTGAAGGACTACTAGCAGCAGGACGCAAAATAACATTTTTTCATCCTGTTTTTTTGTTGTGTCAAAAAACCAAGAGTAAAAGTTTTTGCTAATATGCTCATATGTATGTGAATATATAAGTCTTTTTCCAAAAAACCGAAAAACCATCGCGCAAACATTTTTTCTAAGCTATCGCACATTATCATAATGCATTTACACAAGTTTATTTTCCCTTTTTACCCGTTCTATGTCCTTAAACGCACACGATTGTATTTCGTCATGCACTTACATATCCCTTTTTCTTTTCCAAGATGTTTGGAAAGGATAAAAAGATCGATGAAGTTTGCGATGAATCGAAATTGTCACTGTATCTTTTTTCGTCGCTATTATGTACCACGTGTTTCCTTAGATTAGGGAATAATGACTAGGTGCTGTTGAACATGGCAAGCTATCAGAAGGGTGTTTACTAACGATATGCTCGTTGGGTTTAAGCTCCTGGCTGGCCACTTGTTAGGTGCATCACTACCCTATTAAGTGGAGATTGGGCTGTAGCAGTAAATAAGTATTGTAAAATAAATAGTCCTGTAAATTTTTGACATTTGATTTTGGCCTCATTAGTTTTAATTGAGATGTTGAATTATGGTCCCGTTCTATATTAGTGCCACTATAATAATAAACTTAATCCGGAAATTGTAGATTTGTCATGATGTTACTACCTAATTCATAAGGTCTTACGTAAAAGTCACATCATTGTCTACACTGACTCACCTCACATAACGATCGGCAATATGATACTTGGCACTTCTGAAGAACACACACGAGCTAGAGACAGAACAACATATTTAATGTGAATAGTAACAAGTTACACAAAATGACCGTATCTGAAAGGATGAGTGATGCCATCTGATTGATTCTTGCCTCCTTCACCATCGTCGACTTTTTCCTAGTGCTGCATGTTAAATTTCAAGCTTCGTAGTAATTACATGTTCAGCTTCGAGGCTTGTGTGATTAAGAGCCAATACCAATACAGACACATTTTAGATTAAATATCTCCCGAGATATCGATAGCACTTGAAGTACAACTTCGAAAAATTTACGGAAATCTTCAGCCATATAAAGATGACTTCAAGAAAACAACACTGATTATAATAATTGGTCAGTTTGTCGACAAACATCTTTTTGTTGACAGTTTCCTAAAATATCAATTCTGGTACTTGGTTTTTTAGTCTCAACAATACTTAATGACGATGTTGGGAAACCATTATCGATAACTAGTTATGGTGTTTATCTCGTATTTATGTTCGTCCTGTTAGTACCGTCACCGCCACTTTATTTGCTTTTTTAAGTCATTATGCGAGAATGTCTGTTGATCCTATGGCAGGTGACTGCTGGAACTCTAATAACTCCGAAGTTTACACACATATTCTCGGCTATTGAAGTTAATAGGTGTCTTAAAAATTAGAACAAAATAATAATATGTGTACCCTAGTGAAACTAAAGCAATAGCCGATATAATTTTAAACTAGGAACTAAATTACGTGTCAATGTTGAACCCCGATCAATACTAGTGAAAACTTGCAGGCTTGGTTACATTCTATTTCATTAGTTCAGCAAATTTTATTTGTTTACGAGGAGGCAATTACCTTGGTACTGATTGCCATGGTGTAAGTATATAAAGTGTAGAAGTAACTTAAATCTACAGCATCATTTAATGGCAAGTCACATACATACCTTCCAGAGTGTGAGATTATGCTGTGTAGAAGACTCAACACGAAAAATTTAAAAAAATGTTTAAAGCAGGAATTATTCAAGAACTTTACATATAATAACTAAAAGCACCAGGGTCTTGTTTGCCTTATGGTCGTGACCATTTAAAGATACTGAAAAATCCTCCGACTTGGTTTACTGAGTAGAAAAAACATTTTCTGCTTAACATATGAGTAGCTTAATACACAAATAGCTAAAACACAGTTTAAGGTACCTAATCTAACCAGCAGGCAGTAAATCTTCTTCATTTCTTAGAATATTTTTAAATCAGAAAGTCAGCTACAAAAATCTCTTACTTCCATATGCGGTGTGTTGTGAAACGAGCTAATTTTCCCAAACATTATGTTGTAGTAGGCGTCGCGTCGTGGTTAACCTTGATCACCACTACAGATCGACTATATGCCAGTTACCAGGTTAGACCTCTCCGTAGGCTATATATCAGACGGTGTTGAAGGCCGTACTTAAGGTGTATTTGTCGGTGATCTCGTGATGCCGAAGTAATACCGAGATCGTTCCAAAATCCACAAGCGAGACTACTGAGCGTGGGAGAGTTCATTCAGGGTCACAACCAACTGAAGAGAGTGTTTTTTGGTACACTTAAACAAAGAGGCACAGTAAAACAATCACTGGCACAGTTGGTCATATAAATAATTGTTTTCATCATACCAATCGCGTTCTCTTCACAAAATTAGGTCGCTACAATGTCCAGAAAAAATATCAAACAAATCACCAAACGATATACATATGATGATTTTCTCAGTGATCTAAACATGCAAATATCACAGCTAGCTTTTGTATCAAGAAATTAAATATTTCTAGTGTCTTTCCTTCTCATAACAGCTTTACGATCAATTCGTATTATTTTTGAACTGGGTATACACAAGAAGCGCAAAATGATGTGAGAGTTTTCATAATATGGATATGGAAACATTAGAGTCAGATCAAAAGTCAGGCGGTGATATCAGTTTCAGCAGGTACCCACATAATAGTATTTCCCGTTTACCAAAGCAGTCATGGTACTAGTGCGATATACCTATTATCTCTTCTCTTAGTCACAAACGGTATACGATGATGTCGTTGCCTTAAATTCGTGAAGTCCTATACCGTCCTCAACTTAGTTGGTGGCTACTATAATTAGTATTCTGATACCAATTAACCAACACGTTGCTATTTGAACGCGACAGCACTTGAGGTTTGAGCTTTAAAGGCCAAACATACTGGGAGATTTAAAAGTGTCCCGTGATTGCGCACTTTTCGACTGGTTCGTAGCTGTTTTGTATTTCTTCACTTTCCTCATCCAACTTAACAAATGTTTAACTGAATAATCCTTGAATAAATGTATATCCTCAAGCCACACTGCTTTCAGAACGTGATAAAAATCTTTCTAGCATGGCGCATCTTTTGACCGCAGACAAATTGGCTGAGATCAAAAATTATGAGGAGCAAATGTTTGATTACTTTTCCCACTACTCAGCGAAGCTTCGCGAGTGGTACGCAAATGGTGGTGACAAGTCCGAAGATTACAAGGCTCAGTATGACAAACTTACGGAGGAGTACTACAGATACCTTAAGTATATCCAACGTTTAAGAAGCATGACAACAGTGGGATATGACGTCTCCCATCAAGGTTTGATACTTTTTTGTTGACTGGCATTTTTAAGTTTCAGTCGAAGCTAGCACCCTTCAAAACATCCAACGTCAAACTACTGATAGTGTTCCAAACTCAAACACAACCTATTCGGCATCTGCTGCTGCCGACTACACTCGTTACTATCAGAATATGATTAGTTATTTTGGAAAACTTTTGGAGTCTGTTCAGCAAAATGATCCTGAGTTCAATGAGAGCTCCGATGAGGAGAATAAAGACAAAGAGAAAGTATGTTTGTATTTTTCCTCTCAGTTCTGCAGATAAAACCAGATGGGACTGTGGATCTCGATAATGCAGTTTCAGAAGAAAAGAAGGCCCTCCCGGAAAACTCAGAGGTGCTGGATCCTTGTTCTGACCCGAACGCCGTAATGAAGGAATATTTTGACCGTTATGTTAAAGCTGGAGATTGGGATTGGGCGTCTTGGAATAATTACCTTAGTTGGATCGCTCGTACCAATCCTCAGTGGTATGAAATATTTGTGAATTTAAGCCGAGGACTCGGCATAGATTGGGATGACATGTATAAAAAATGGGTCAGTTCGGTGTCAGGGGATTCCAGTTGCAATAAAAATGCACCTACGTCTTATTGTGAGTTAAAATTATTGTACTTATGGTTTCTATCTTTAAGGGAGTGACTATCATCTAAATGTGGTTTGAGTACTCAAATTGTTATATTGATCTCAAAGGTACATTTTATATGAGTAACCTGAGAATTTAGTCCACCAATATGGAAATTCGCCGACATGATTTTTTTGTGCTGCTTTACGATTACCACAGGATACTGTCTCAAGAAACAGGTTTTAACATCTGAGACATACGTTATGTATGCTTCTCCTTTACGAAGGTATCCAAATGTCACTAGAATCAGCTGCAGATGATCAACAGTCAGTATTTTTGGCTGTTGTTGAGATGGGTTTTTAAAAATAAATATTCAGTGTCCGAAATGCCCGAGTTCCAGGTCTTTGGTTGAGTCACCATACTGTTGTATGAAATGTTGTTTACCTTATTAATTTGTTCATTAAAGGCAATATTGTCTTGAATCCTTACTGTTTATTTACTAAAGACTGATGCTCCCCTACCAAAATAAGTTAATCCATATCGAACACAGTTTATAGTGATTTCCTTACACCAAGTACAATCCATCTAGATATCACTGACCTAATACTGGCAGTATAATAAACTGAGTTATTCTACTAAAGATCTGTTATCCCAGGTTTCCTACTGACAGTTTCTACCAACTTGCTTCTCGTACTTAAGTGTTCTTTACGTAAACATTTTGCTCATTTGTAATACCATTTCAAATAAAATGATAACTGATCAATACTTGTTTTTACTAGTTTTCAACCGCTGATGTTCTGTGTCTAATCATTTGAGCCATTTTTTATGGATTAAAAAGTATATTTCGTATATCCACAAACCCTTAAAATTTACATTAATCGTTCTTGTGTCTCATATGTAACTTGAAGCTTATGAAACGATAGAACTTTGTAGCTCAGGGATAGAATTCGCAAACTGTTGTGTTTTCTAAGCTAGATGGTTTAATCGTTTGAAATCCAGAATGCCCCACAATTTTTCTTGTCATTCTTTCACCTGACTGTATTATGCTGCTATAAGTTGTTTGAAAGATCTCCCATTTAACGAATTCGTAGTAGATATCCAAATGGGCTGCTTAACATTATACTCTTCGATCAGTCAGTGTTAACCTTTAGCCAGTATCGAACTTTGAGATGATATATCGATTAGTGATCAAAAAAACCAAACCATCCAATTTCTAGCTTAAATACATCAGTTACTTTTATTTGTTTATTATAACCATGATGCCATTTGTCGCAAAGTTACGTAAATTATTGCTCAAGTTTCTTATAACCCAACTCAAGGCTTTTGTTTTATCATTTTCTCTCGGAAATTTTAAGTGACTTTGCTTTTAATTCATTTTAGATTCAGGTGACCAGAACTTTTCCCTTGCAAACTACCTTGGATTAGGGTCCACTAATATACCAACTGTTTGTAAACAAAATGTTGGAAATGATGACAATGATGACAGTGAAGGCTCGCAGCACTATTGTGCAACTTGCAAACAAGATTTTGGTACCGAGCGTGCGTTCATGTTACACATACGTGGTCTGACACATACTCAAAGGACTCTTCAGTCTAGTGGAATAAATTCATTTGACTCCAGTGTTTTAGAGGTAAAAATAACTGCTTTTTCCAACTAGTGTTCCTTTGTGTTTATTTCATATGGATTATATGACTACCTGTCTTTTCCAGGAGAACTGGGAAGTAAAACATCACGAATGGTTGAAATCTCAGTATTTAAATGAACTTAATTCTATTGTTGGATTATCTGGATCATTTTACTGTGAGGTGAGGTGTTTACGTATATAACTCTAATGCGTTTTTATTACCTTAAGTTTCGTGTTTCATAAAAAATTCCCAATTTTAATCAAATATTTTAGTTTACAGATAAACTTATCCTCATAAATTGCAGAACCTGTTGGAATGGGTTAATATTTATTATCTTTTTATTGTGAAGGAAGATGTAATAAAAACCTCTGAGTCATTTGAAGCAGAACTACCGGGCGCATAGATTTACTCGTTCTCAGTTTGTATTTTGGGCATACTTTACAGCCCACGAAACACTTTTTCCACAACTCATCAGAGTCATGATGATTATTAGTTGACTAGTATATTCTATGACATTTTTGTATCATTTTTACTCATGGGTTAGTCATAACATAGGGCCTCACATAAATGTGTATCTTACCCAATCGTCCATGGTAAAATTACCACTACAAGAGGAAACGAACAAGATAAACAGCAAAGCAGTCACAATACTTTTAGTAGGCCTGATAGTGAAGAAAGATAAACATTGATAATATAGTCCTAGAAAACAGAACGAAAAGGTTTATGCAAGGGAATACTAGAACTTACAACTTAGGAGAAGGTAAAGTGTGAATATATCTATGGCGCTGTGATAGATTTTGAATAATATCGCCCGAAATCTACAACTGATCGCGTGGGCCTTAAGTAGGTAATTCGCATCTACTAGCACAGTTCAGTTCAAGTCAGCAGTTCGATGGAATGATACCACGTCTTGGTTTACTGAAGGTGTTCAGAAGTTGTACACGTCGTTTCCATCAAATAAGACTCATGTACGTATTCCATCTTGATAAGTGAGTTTTCAAGACAAAAACCAACCCCTACAAAGTTGGAGTAAAAGTACGGTTTTTTGAAGGACAACTATATTCAGACAGTTGTTGTAGAGTAGAATGTAGCTAGTAGTCGAGTCTAGGACATGCGTTTCTTCCTATTTGGGAATTATTATCTGAATGTGCCTGCAACCCAGAGTTAATATTCCCTATGGGACTCGAACGCAGCACTGTTTACTTTAAAGTCCATCGTGTTATCTACTCAGCTACTAAGCTCAGATAGCCTTTCACCTGTGCAAAGTGTATGAGATTCAATTCATTTTGAAATAGTTTAGATTACTAACAACGGGCTAATCCAAACCATTTGAAATTGAGTTAAATCCACACAGCTTATTTTCAAAAACTGTCTATCTTACCAGAGTAACTGTACACATTGATCTCGTTCATGATAATGTTTGACAGAAAACTTCTAAATCAGTCTGAAATTTCAGCCAGTTGCAAACAATTTCTTTAGTTCCACAGTTTGTCGTAATAGGCTTCCTAATAAACATGTTGACTTGGGAGATAAATCCAAACACTATATAGATAAAAGTACATTTCTAATTTCGTTTTACACTGCAACATACCACTAAGTCAAATATCCAGTCAGTCAGTCAGTCAGCTACAACGTAGGACCAGGCACATATGTGCATCGGTCAAATATCCATGCATATATTTAATACTGGGTACAAATCCGTAGTCAAAAATACCTCAGTTTACAGTCTTCAGAGCTAAGTTTTTTTAGGATATAGTGTACGAACCTCTTTGATCTGTTCAGCTTTCCCGTTTACTCACTTGAGTTACTGTCTATTGTCATCAAATCACTGCATAGTCTACTGAAACATGTTTAACTACTTCAACTGATGTGCTCAAAATTTATGTCAAGATTAATTTGGAACTGGTACATTCACGTGCTTTTGATAGCAAACTTATCACTAGTGATACTAGTTCCCCTTAGTTTTCATCTTACTCTAACTGAGCTAATTATAAGATGTTTCAGTATTTGGAGTCTTATGTTTGATTTCAATATATCATCAGGTATGGATCAGCTGCTCTGGCTTTCACTGTACGTGAATCGATCTCATCATTTACGCCACCACCAGCACTTATGCAGCTACCCAGATACACGAACGTCTTGATTACTATCTGCTCACTACCCAGGGTGAGTGCAGGTTCAGGGGCCTGTCAGTCTCGTAAAATTACTTTGCACTTCGAAGGTGAAAAGCATATACCATACTTATGGACACTAATTGCCAATTGATTAAGTACGGATTGAATAACTTGGGTATTATCGCACAGTAAGATGATGTTATCTGCATACTCAAGATCGAGAAGTCTTTCTCCGAACAACAAATCCACACCATCATCACCCTACATTCATCAGAGCTGTTTCAAGAAGATCATCCATAGCAGAATTAAAGAGGAATGGTGTTTGTGTATAGAGCTTGTAGTATGTTAATAAATTTCTCATGCACACCTTTCTTCAGTAGACAGTCCCAGAGAACAGTCTTGTCCAGCGAATCGAAAGCGGCCCTAATGTCAACAAATACTACGATTGTTGGTTTGTGATGAGTGTCACGGTGTTCTAACATTGGTGGAGGGTGAAAATATAATCAATACATCCTCAACGATAACGAAAAACAACTTGCTCCCCACGAGTCAATGTTTCTCAGATTTTGAACAATCTACGAAGTATGACGGAAGCTGATAGTTTGGACGCAACCGGAAGTAGACTTATCACTCGATAGTTGCAGAAACCACGTGACACCTTTTTAAAGATAGGGATAACTATCGACCCATCCCATGATGTTAGAACACTCTCTAATTGCCAGATTTTTGGAAACAACTCAGTTAATTCCTTTAACAGAAAGTTACCACCACCTTTAAATAGGGCCGGAGTTAAGTCACACTGGCCTGGTGATTTGTCGCGCTTCAAGAATTGGAGTTTCTTGCAGACTTCCCCCTCGTTAGGTGGGTCAGTCGTGACAGGCCATGGAGGGCAGGACAGTCTGATCGATGTTGCCAGTGAAGCAGACCGGTTGGACTGCCCATCGTCCAAGACGTCGATGTATGTTAGTGATTGGCATCCTGTCATCCTCGCAGATTGTTTCACTCACACCAGACTTCTTGCTGCCAGTGACTCGAATGGGTTGAAAGAGCTTCCAACAGTTACCAGATGCAGCTGCTGCCTCCAACTCATTGTCATACTCTGACCACCAGGCTTCTCGATCCTTACGCAAGCTTTGCCCAATTTCATTATATAAAAGTCATAAATTCCGGTCAAACTCACGGTCACCCGGAGTAGACCGACGGGCTTCAATGAGTTGTAAAGAGGCTGAATAAATCCAGTGCTTACAAGCGGGACGTTTCACGAAGTTGCAAGCGACTTCACCCGTCATCTTCATGGTGTCATGCCATTGCAACGAATGCTCATTTATACTTTTCGGTGGGATGTTAGCTAGCATTGAACCTAGCTCGATTTGATATTTAGTTGCAACCAATTTACCGACATCTACCCGTTTAGGATGATGAATTTGTAAGCTGCTGAAACGCAAGGTAAGATTAGTGCAAACAAGGGCATGATCAGAGCCCAGATAGGTACTCCAAAACGAGTGGCAGTCTTGTACACAAACACGCCAGCGATAGCTGATCGCGATGTGATCAATCTGAGTCCAGGTTTGAGATGCAGAAGGAGGACACCAAGTAGCACATCGGCGGCGACTGTTCCGGAAGTTAGTGCTAACCGGCAACAGGTTGTAGTCTGCACAAAGTTGCAGTAGCCGGTCACCGTTACCTGACCTGCGACAAACAGGTCCCCATTGACCACCTGAACGACTCTCTTCTGCGCCTAGACGCCCAACCTGAGCATCCAAGTCTCCGGCTAGTACCGCAATATCTTTCGAACGCACTTTGTGTAAACGAACACTTAATTGGTAGTAGGACTCATACTTGATCACATCCGGCCCGCAATCTGTCGGAGCATAGGCAATGACTAGAAGACATTGTTTTTCACACCAATTTCTTCGCACTTTGATAGGCCTTTCTAATTTAACAGCACATAACCGACTGTTAATGTGGGTCCATCCAATCAGTGCTACCTTGGCTCTAGAGCTTAGCGCCATACCAACGCCAGAAAAACTGGACCAAGATACCACAAGGCCCCCAGACAAATGCACATGAAACGAGCTCTCCGAAACGACAGATGGAGAGCGAATTTGTAGTACTTCACTAGTCTTGAATACGGGCCTCAGACAATAGACATCAATATTAAGACTAAAGACAGCCAACCCTCTCTGTTGTCCGATCTGCATTAGTGTGCGGACATTGAAGGAGGCCAGTTTGATTGGCATACGTGGTTTCAGAAAGACTGTCTCAGTATTCATGTTCGGTGGTAGCATTCAACTTTCGATCAGTCAGTGACTTAATATCGTTTGGATAGAACAGGGTTCCTACCATAGGCGAGCTTCTGTAAAAGTTTAAAATTAAAATATGCAAGATGAGAATAAAGGAGAGTACACAAGTGACGTAGCATGAAAAAAATAAAAGCACATGTTATCAAATGATTGTGAATATGATTCTTCTCAATAAGCGTTGAAGCAAGAGTAATTTTTCCAGCAATTATCATTAATTTGTGTGTGGGCTTGGATACTGCCCGGGTACCCGAACCGAAGCAGGTGGTTTCCTTAGGGGGCAACTCGCCGAGCCTTTAACCTGAATGTCTAATCGACAAGGCAGTGGAACAATGTTGAGAGATTCAGTCCCATGGTAGTCGGTGACCAGCAATAGGTTCATATGTAATTTGTTCCCTCAGGATCCTGGAGCCCATGTGCACTATTGGTTTGGAATCAGGGTTTTCCAACTCCCCTAAGTGGACTCTTCATATCCACCAATCCGGCTAAAACGCCGGACATTTGCTTTTCGTCCTCTCAATTTCGTAAACAACATCCCCGCCGCGAGAAGACATTAGGTAGGACTTTCCTGTCAGTTGTTGTATACGCCTGGCCATGTGAGCATTTCGAGAGGGAAAGCGAGTTCTCCCTACCGTTGGTCATTCCAGGGCATTTAGGGGCTCTCAAGTTTTCTAAAACCGCATAATTTAATTTCAGAGTTCTTAGTCTACACGATGTTATCAGTTTCACTGATATTTAACCTGGTGTTGTGTTATGAGGACATGATTTCAGAGTTTGAGCATAAGTTTTTGTTTGATATCATTCGATTTGTCTTTTAACTGTTGTCATGTTCTTCAATTGTGGGAATGCTGTCTTTGGTTTGCCAATCCTCGCCTTTACATCTGCATTAGATCCTTCACTTTCATAGATGATGCTACCAAGGTAAGTGAAACTTTCCATCTCTTCCAGAGTTTCTCCATCAATTGTGATTGGGTTGGCGTTCTTCGTGTTGTATTTGAGGATCTTGCTTTCTCCCTTGTGTATGTTAAGACTTACTGATGCAGAGGCTGCTGCTACACTAGTTGTCTTCATCTGCATTTGTTCGTGTGTGTGAGGTAGGAGGGTTAGGTCATCTGCAAAGTCCGAATCGTCCAATTGGTTCTGAGCTATCCATTGTATTCCATGCTTTCCCTCATATCTCGAGGTCTTCATAATTCAACCAAACATTAGAAGAAGGAGAAAGGGGGAGAGTAGACAGCCTTGTCTGACACCGGTTCTTACTTGGAAAGCGTCTGTCAGCTGTCCTGCATACACCACTTTGGACTGTAGTCCATCGTATGAATTCCGGGTGATATTGGCGATTCCAGATACTCTATAGTGTCGAAGAAGTTTCCATAAGGTTTTCCTTTCCACACTGTCATTTGTTTTCTCCTAATCAAGGAAATTGATGTATTGTGACGAGTTCCATTCAGTTGATTGTTCAACAATAATCAGTAATGTAGCGATTTGGTCTATACATGACCGATCCTTACGAAGTCTAGCTCGTTGATCTCGAAACTGTGCATCTACTGAATATTATTTGCGAATCAACAACACTGTTCAAAACTTTTTCTGGTACAGATGGTTGTGTGATGACTTTGTAGTTCTCACATTTGCTCAGATTCATTTCTTTGAAATCTTGATAAGGGGTCTTTCTTTCCAGTCGATCGGCACTTGTTCTTCCTTCCAAATCTTTCTGAGTAGAACATGAAGCATGCTTGCAGTTACTTTTGTCTGACTTTAGTGTTTCAGCTGGTATGTCGTCAGGTTCTGCTGCTTTCTCGCTCTTTATTCGTCCGATGGTCATCCCGATTTCTTCCTTCGCTGGTGGAGTGACGTTCATAGGAAGATCTGTGGATGCTTCTTCAATACCCGTTGGGTGCAGTGAGGCTGGCTTATTCAAGAGTTCCTCAAAGTGCTCTGCCCGTCTGTTCCTCTTTCCTTGAGTCTTAGTAATTGTCTTGCCTTACTTGTCTTTGACTGGTCTCTCTGGCTTACTATACTTCCTTGCCAGTTTCTTCGTCGTGTCATATGGCTGTCTCATACTTCCTTCTTTTCCAGCCTTTTCCGCTGTTGTTGCTAGGTCTTTCACATATTTCTGCTTGTCGGGTCTAATGTTCCTCTTCAATTGCTTCTGTGTATACAGTTTGTTTCTTGGCTTTCTCTGCTCTTGTTCAGCTATTGTTAATTGCCGTTTCGTTCTTCCTTTCTCGAATCTTGTCTAAGGTTTCTATAGAGATCCATTCCTTATGATGATGTCTGATGCGTCACAGAACCTCCTGATACGTTGAAGCTAGTGCTTCTTTAATCCTTTTCCAATTGTCCTCCATAGTATTTTTTTCTTGTTTGAATATATTATGTAAGGCTTGGAACCCTCTGTTGAGAGCTAATTCGAATTCGTTGAGTTTGTCAATATGTCGAAGGAAGGATGTACTGAACGATGTTGTTTCTTCGCTTTTCCATTACATTTTTTAGCTTCATTTTCATCTTGTCAACGACCAGGTGGTGATCCGAAGCTATGTCAGCTCCTCTCCATGTTCTCAAGCCTCCCATTGTCCTTCGGAATTTTTTGTTGATACAAATAGGTATTTGATTCTCCGTGGTGTGGTCTGGTGAGACCCATGTAGCACAATATTTGAAGTTTTAGTTCCAAATGCCCTGGTACGGCCGAGAGTGGGGAGAGTCCACTCTCCCTCTCGAAATGCTCTCACATGGCCACACGTATATGGCCCCTTCCAGGGAAGTACCACTCATTGCCTTCTCGTGGCGTGGGTGTTGTTTACGAAATTGAGAGGACGAAAAGGGAATGTCCGGCGCTCTAACCGGGTTGGTGGACACAGAGAGTTCACCGGTGGGGAGTTGGAAGACCCTGATTCCAAACCGATGGTTCACATGGGCTCCAGGATCCTGATGGAACAAATGGTATATGAACCAATTGTTGGTCACCGACCACCGTGGGACTGCATCTTCTTACGATGCTCCACCGCCTTTTAGATTAAACCTTTAGGTCGAAGGCCCCGGATGTGGCCTTCTAAAAAACACCTGCTTCGATTTGGGCACACGGGCAATATCACAGTACTCACACAAATCAAATGAGATTTGTGTGGCGTATATGTATTTGGTGCCTCCTTGTACCAATATCTATGTGTTAAAATAAATAAATAAATAAACATGTAGCTTTGTCTGGCAATATTGTACCACCTTTAACTAAGTTGTTGAATGCACTTAAGTTTTGTAAATCTCTCTCAGTCCATGTTGTTCCATGATATCTTCATACACGGTGTTTTACATCCCGACTTTGGCGTTTAGGTCTCCCATCATGATGGTGAGATCATTTTTTGGGCACTTCGCTATGATTGATTGTAGCATCTCATAGAACTGATCGTGATTGTCGTCGTTGCTATAATAGGTGGGTGTATAACACTGGATAACATTCATTGTGATTCCCTCTCTCTTTGTTTTGAAGTATGCTTCGATGACCCTTCATCCAGAAGATTCCCATTCTATAGGTGCATTTCGTGCTTCTTTGGACAGCATCAGAGCACCTCTTGAATGTGTGGAGCATTTTCCTCTTCGTGACCGGAGTGCGACAGCATCTCTCCCGTATCTAACCTTTGCTGTCTCATGGGTTCCGCTGATTTTGAGTACTGCCAAGTTGTATTTCCTCATTTCTGTTACTATTTATCGGGTTCTCCCACATTCCATGTACCTATATTAATTGTTATTATGGTTGCTAGAAAAGGCACCGGCCTCGTGACTTCCGAAGAATCTCAGCTTTCATCGTGAAGTTTCATAATTCTTTCTTAAACTCCCAGGATAGAGTTTAAATGATTTAATTTTTTTAATCTCGTTGGCGTTTTTTAGCAAGATTTTTTTCTACAGGATGGGGTAACCGATTTCACGCCCAACCCTCCTTTGTGTGGGCTTGGAACCGGCAGTAACTCTAGAGGAGCTACAGGCGGAGTTTGCTGCACAGCATGCAGATAATAATGTATCTCTGTAGATACAGCTGAGTTCGTGCTACATTTTGATTTGTACTTTTTTGAGCTACAATAATATTTGGCTTTCTAAATCTTGACAAGTGAAGGTGTATTTGACATGGTCAATTACTGGTTTAACGGAGCACATTAACGACTGAACTCAAGTCGTATAATTCCCCATGCATGGAATTCTGTGTTATTATAACCATTTAGCTACCACTCCTTTACTATTTTGAGTGTTAAACTAGTAGTTTCAACATCGATAATAAAGTAGCGTTACATATCCCAGATATTGTAAGTTTTTCTAACCGTTAGTCAACTCATACACGAATACTATTTTTTTAAGCTGCATACTAAGTCCAACCAAATTTCCTTCAGTCTTCTATGTTATATTTTAAATAATCCCTTTTATATTTCTTTAGTTGTGTGAAGTGGAATTCCCATCTCACAAAGCTCTTGGTTCACATCTTAATGGACGTCGGCATCGAGAAAATGTTTTTATTTTTGAGTCAACTGGTAAGGCAAGAATAAAATCTGAACTTAGATAAATTTTTACAATCTTTTATTATTTGTTTTAACTTATCTTTTTATAACATAGTTGTTTTATTTTAGTAGCTAGTTACTGGCTTCTTACATCGCTTGGTTTGGTTTTATCTCATTCCCAATTAACTATCGTTGACTAACAAAGTAATAGCTCTCAAAGCTCTTGGTATTACGAATAATCTCAATTATTTTGTCATTCTATGAAACTAACAAGAAAGGTACCTATGTATAGGATCGATAAAATCAATGTTAGACCCGTTTTGTGTGCGATTCAATTGCAACGCATTTGTGAATTTTAAATACTGACTTTTTATGTCTGTTTCATACTGTAACCGTGTGTTTCAGTCAGTCAGATAGTAAAGAAGCAATAACCATTTACAACTTCATTATCTTCCAACCTCTGTCTGTTTCTGTCAGGATTAATATTTTGGAAAAAATTTTTGAGTTAGTTTCCAGCCTCATGGATTCAAACCACATTAACTAACTAATTGAATTTTGGAAAGCATTTTCGCACCATTACTACTAACAGCAAATGGAGGCTCTTGCTCATAGAAAATGTATTAGTGGTAGTATGGTGTTTACTTAGTTTCCTACCCATTCTTACAATGGTTTCGTACCAAATAAACTATCGTTCTGATTCTGTTAGTTACTAGCCTGTAAAGTAATATTGCAAAAGGAGTCAATTCCATATAGGTATGATTAAAATTAAGTTTCTTTTATCACTGAAGTATAGTTTGTTGTAAAATTTCCATCTATTAGATAAGTGTGAATCTCGTATTCATTGTGTCACAAAATTGCCTATGATAATTATTTTTATAATAAGATAGTACCCCTTATTCGTCAGTGTAGGTGTTGGAGTAGGAGTAAGTTGGAAGAAGACTACAGGCGAACAGACCAACACATGGCATAAATCCATGAAATCACTGACAAGTGGACTGAGCCATGTTGATAGGTGTAGACTACCTGGTTGGGATCGACGAGACGATAGCAACCGATGGTTAGAGATCTTGAATGACATGGCTCAAAATCGTTTGCAGTGATGTGCGCAGGTGTATCCACTCTTTGTGTTCTCCTAAATTCTAATCTTCTGAATTCTTCATATCCCTTTTTTCTCTTGTAAAATTTATTTCACTGTATTGTACTCCTTGAATAACATCTTCAAACCCTAATTTTTCCGATTACTGCCTATACTTTTACTACCACTACCACTACGGAATTTGAATTGACGATTGTATCTTTGTGTTAATGTGATATGGCAACTCGAACTGATGTACGTAAGTACGAAGTTCTACGTTGTTGATGACTGACTAACTTTATGCATCTAAACCCGAACTTATCCGATCAAGCTGTATAGCAGTAAAGGAGAGGTTTCCTAACTTTTCCTGGAAAGTGAAGTGTAGCATTTAATTTAGATCCCCTATACATTATGATTTGTATTGTATTTTTTGCGTGTATTTAAAAGCTCACCAGCATTAATTGTATGGGGAGCAGGTTTGTGGCCACTGCGAATTTTTCATATGATAAGGCATGTAGAGGTAACGTCGGAAAAAATATGGTCAAATTAAGGGTTAATAATAATACTTATTGCCTATCTAGAAACTTTAGTAACATTTTGCTTTGAGAGTGACTAACATTACCGATGAAAATTGTCATTTAGAAATAAGACTCGTATTTTTCTGATCGTTCAGATATGACCTTTTTTATGTCATATAATTGTAGGAGATCGTTCTTTGTTGAAGGGTAAACGTCAGGCTCAAGTAAAAGTTACTGCCAAGATACAACCATTTCTTGATGTGTGTACTCAACCTCTAATAGGACTCAATTATATGATCGAGTATCAGTTACGGGAACTGGATGAATGTCTGTATATTTGTAGTCTCTGCAATCAGTGGTTACCAAAAAAGTCAGTGATAAATCACCTGTGTAGTATTATCCATCGGAAAACATATCTTGTAAGTTAATCAAATCAGTATATTAAAAGTTTTCTAGAACACATATTACTTACCTCTGTTCAGAATTATTGACCGGGATTATAGTGATAAATCACTTCAAGCTTGTCGACTGGAGGTTTATGCTCGTAAGATAGAAGATTTTGAAGGAAGGAAACGTCTTATTATCAAAGAACATTCTGTAGCAGGTAAGCCTTGATTTCAGATAGAGTTAATTTTACTAGATCTTGATCTGCAAAGCGAAATTATACGTCTTATTCAAGAACACAATGAAGCACGTCTTTTAAAAGAGAAGTGTCAAAATTCGGTAAGAATTCAAATCTTTATTAACTTTTTATAATTACCTTTCTATAAAGCCTCCGCGTACTTGTGAGCACTCCGCTTCTAATACTCCCGTTTCGGGAGACCTTGAAGAAGGAGAAATAAGAGAAGATTCTTCTGATGAAGAAACAAATACTGCAGAAGGTATTTTACCTCGTATTTTATATCCAATAACTTTATGTACATCTAGTGAGCTCTCCAGATTCTGATTCAAGTTTTTATGCACGTTACAATGTTATCATGAGATCAATCGATAAAAAAAGAAACAGTGTTACCGATGTTGACACAAGCAATTCAAACAGAAAGTCTCAATTTCTTATGGATACTATTATATCAGAAAACAAGGATATACAACTGAACGGAGAATTTGTAGAGGATATAACAATCACAGATGAGGATTGTGAAAAATATATGTACGTTGACATTCAGTTTACTTGGTATTTTGCATATTCTAGTTTTTGAAAAGTCAAGTACTTTAGGTTTCAAAATATATTGGTTATACGGATCAACAGTGTTATAACTCTCTCTTTCTTCTTACGGTTAATGACCCAGCTATTCCTATTGCTTAGTATTCTCGGACACCGATTCACTCGACAAGTCCCCAAATCAGAACACGGTTGAACAGGAAAAAGATTATATTCCAAATAGCAAGTCAGAAGCACAATAGGGGAAAACGTCGATATATTTATAGTTTTTACATAAGAAGATTCCAGAGTATTCTCCGACTATCGACTAGTGCAAATTGGATAAGAATCAGCCAATCAGCGTGCACCAAAGCAATCATGCATTGAGCATGCTTTAATCTGGTCTATGTCCCGCTAACAAACAGATTGCTAGTTATAATCGTATAACAAGCTGTTACATACTATTTGATAATATGACGCTACTCATAGTTGACATTCTTCCGTGAAATCCTTTTTCTTTATCGACCATTGTCACATATCTTTACTTGGAGCGAAATAAAATCTAAAATATTTAAGCTCTATTGTATATATATATATATATATATATATATATATATATATATATAATAACGTTTTTATAGTTGTATATTCCTAAGTTAATGAGTTGGAACATTACAGTAAAATCTTTTACTTGTTGCATTTTTCCGGGTTGGGATTTCGTTGTGTTTCTTTCCAACCTCTTAAATAAAGTAGTTTACATAAGCAACGGTATTATCGCGGTGTGTAAATGTTCGGAAATAATCTTTTTTTAAATTATTATTCTCTTTCAAAATTGCAGAAACTTCAAACTACTTAACTGTAACATCATAGAACGAATAATTTAAAAGGACTCCTCTTAGAAAGCAATAAAATATCAAACATCGTGTTGTGGATGCAGAGAAATAGACCAATAATTATCATGTTAAGTCCAATGGTATCCTTGGACTTTAAATGATAATTATTGGTCTATTCCTCTGTATCCACAACACATCGATAGCCAAATCATTATAGAAAACAGTTTGAATTCTCCCGCTAAGAGCAGCTCTCGATTATTTTGTTGTCTTCTTAGCGTCACTGACTATGCAAATTGTATAATCAAAAAGACTTTATTAAAGTAAGCTGGTTTCCGATTTGGCGTTTGTTTTTATTACAAAATGACATCAGTCAGTAAATCATCTAGGCCCAGTTAGCTCTGAAAAACTTGTTTTTCAAGCACCCATAGAACCCATTTACTGTAGGAATGTTTCCATTCTTCTGTTTCAAAGTATGTCTAAGACAAACTTCTGGTGCACTCTCTCTTCACAGTGCACTTTAAAAAGAATTTCTTTTGATGCTTTGAAATTTTAAGATAACCTAACAAAAGCAAATGAGATGTTTGATAATAATAAATTTACATGTGGTTTACGTTTTTTATAGTCTCACTTTAGTCTTGTGGTTGGGTAATTGCAGATAATTGTTTAGAGACACTATCAAATAATAAAATACTAGAAAGAGAACACATGTAATGGATGTTTACTTTTGATAAATAATCTATTTTTGTGTTTTATAAAACTTATATTTCACTAGTCAAGAGCTAGAACATGAAGGCTTACTGCAATTAAAAGCATCTAATTCAAGCGGTAAATTACGACGAGACTCTTCTTACACTGACCAGTTCACAAAGGAAGCTGATTGGGTTTTAGAAAAGTTAAAAACTTTGAAGAGTAGACATGAAGAAAACCTTCGACAAACAGCAGCAGATGTATCCGCTACAGCAAGAATTCAGGCTAACAAATTATCAAATACTGAAAATTCTCCAGTTCAACATTGCTTTTTTATACATGATTTGTCTTACAATCATTATTATAAATCAAGGTAAGTAATATAAATACATAATTTCTTCAATTCTTTCTTGTAATGCTTGAAAGTTTAAATTTGTAAACTTGTTTGTAATGGAGAAAATTGTATTTATGAAGGTGTTGACTGAATCCCACTGCTTATTTCCTACGGAAAATTTTAAAATCAAGACTATTAAATAAAATAGAACGCTGCTAGCTAAGTCGTTTAAACCAATGTTATCTTGTGTTCTTAATGGGTTTGCAAAAAATATATATGCACCGTTCAATGTTTTGATTGTCTAACTAAGTAATTATAAATAAAGCCCCCAAATACCTTGGTATAACCGAGAGTGGGGAGAGTCAACTCTCCCTCTCGAAATGCCCACATGGCCAGGCGTATACAACAACTGACAGGAAAGTCCTACCTAATGTCTTCTCGCGGCGGGGATGTTGTTTACGAAATTGAGAGGACGAAAAGCAAATGTCCGGCGTTTTAGCCGGATTGGTGGATATGAAGAGTCCACTTAGGGGAGTTGGAAAACCCTGATTCCAAACCAATAGTGCACATGGGCTCCAGGATCCTGAGGGAACAAATTACATATGAACCTATTGCTGGTCACCGACTACCATGGGACTGAATCTCTCAACATTGTTCCACTGCCTTGTCGATTAGACATTCAGGTTAAAGGCTCGGCGAGTTGCCCCCTAAGGAAACCACCTGCTTCGGTTCGAGTACCCGGGTATCTCAGTCACGCAAATCGAATGGTTTATGCGGCGCATATCTGTTTAGTGCCCCTTTGTACCAATGTTTATGTGTCTAAAAATATATAAATATAACTCATTCACCAAGTGCGTGGGTATGAGCTACATTCTGGGTAAGGGTTATTCATACTTCCCAGTTATCCAGACCAAAGTAAGTGGAACGGAGTTTGATCCTAGGACGTAGTGGCTGATAGTCTAATATCTTACTCAGTAAGCTACCGCTCCGGTTATCTAACTAGTGAGTTAAGCTGAGTTCACTTAAAAAGATGCCATTAGGAACGAGTTACGTCAGTAACATCTAATCCTTGTACTTTGACAAGACATCAGTAACAAACATATGCCGATAAAATCTTCAACAAAGTCAAGTATGACCATTTAAAATCGTTTTATAGTGATTATAGAAATTGATTAGTTTTAGGAATTGGGCATATTTTTCTGTTAATATCTGTACATCATTTTATATAACCTTGTTGGTTTTATAGAGTATATTACTTTAACGGATTTAGCAAAATACATCATCTCATTGTTACACTAAAACTGTAATATTATTTATCAAGATCACGGTTTTCACGACAGGCCTATGAACACATCATGGTTTATTTGTTGTCGCCAGCATTATTATATGCTGCAATATATCCACGTTATTTAAATTTATATTTTTGCCTGAGTGAATTTATTTATTGGTAGAATTTTATTATTATGGTTATATAATTTTTCAATGTTGCAACCTGTTTACCTGGAAATATTTTGGTGTCTTATGTTTGATAATCTATTTGTATTTAATGACTATCTTAAACATTCAGCAAATAAAGGCGGGCAACTTAAAGCATAGGTCCAAAATGTCCCAAAAATGGGTTGTATTGGAAATATTTACACCATTATAATATGTCTCACTCGCCACTTTTTTATCCGTACAGCGTAAAGTGGAAATGAATAGGTGCTAAATAACTAAAACACAGGTACTCAGCAATCAGAATCGGATGATGTTTAGAATGCATCAGCTTTATTTCAACATCTTTTTATGATTTTTGATTGGGATCATGAACCGATTGATGTTAGACCATCACAATTGAAAACCTGGAAGCACTGGACGGCCGTTTCGTCCTATTGTGGGACTCCTCAGCAGTGCGCATCCACGATCCCGCGAGCCTGATAACTTGAAGCCCCAAACCTTCGGTCTTGTATCTCTACTGATCCCAGTTAAGAAGCTTCAGACCAAGCATTTCAAAACTTCATAAACTGATACTACAATACGTGTGTGATCTAGACCTTTTTAAGACTTCTGACTATCCACCTTTATTCTGGTTAGCATACCACTAAGGTAGGCACATGCAAACCACTTCTTGGCCATCTCAATCAATTAAAGTTTACAAACTCACTAATTCACCATTTTTACATAATGACATAGCTAGTAATTTGTAGGAAGATATCTGGTATCAAGTCCCTGTAACTCCCATTTTTCATACATTCAGTGACGAAATATAAAGCAATATTTAGAGAATTGTTGCTCACCCAACTCACTGTTTTAGTATTTTCTAACGGTCATTTGATTCACATCAATGGCTGCCTTCACCCGACTGTATCATTTAGAGATCCTCTACCTTACTACTAACAAAGTGATCTGAATCATAGGTTTTTGTTTATTACTTTATTGTCTAAATTATTAAAGTAAACAGACTTTATCAAATGTGTTTCAGTCGGTAGAATTATCCCAACGAAAGTCCTAAAATTTGATGACTCCCTAGTCATAAAAATTGCCTACCCCTCCTGAAAAACTGTTTTTCCTCATATTTATATAGTTAGAATTAAATCCCAAACGACCTATTATTTTTGTATATGTGTACAAGTCAATGAATGCTTCGTAATTGCTTTGACTGGCTGTTCGGATTGATATTTTTAGCACAAATACTTTTAATTATCTATTTATATGCTTTTGTATTGACAATTTTTATCTTTGTGTTTAATTTAACAATCCATTGTCTTAGAAGATTTGAAAAAGGCTTAATTCTCCCACCCCTTGGAACTCCAGTAGGCCCTTCAGTTCCTATGTACAAGAATTACAACTACCCCATTCCTCCTAACACTGGGAGCTTAAATGAACGTAATGCTAATGCAGGAGAGAATAGCACTCGAATAGCTTTATCCAGCAGTGCATTTAATGTAATATTATCAGCTATTGATGCTCTCAAATCTTCCGGGCAGTTACCTAGGGGTCTAAATCCAACGTTAAAAGAAAAGAATATCAATGTAACTGAGATTAAAAATTCCAATCAGCAGATTACTAACAGAGATAATCAGCAATATATATCTCCTGGTTATAATCAAATATCAGGAATTGAAGATCCAGTACACAGTAAGTAAACACCTATTCTGTTGTATGGTAAAATTCTAAGTTTGATGTGACTCATTTGTCAAGTAGAAAATGATATACTTTGATTTATACTGTTTGCAATAAGGCTAGTGATGCGAGGTTTGTACTTGGGACTTACGGAAACCATGTGTTCCAATTAATAATTCACTGCCTTAGGCGAATTCCCAATTATTGAATTTCTAGACTTTTTAACAGCTAAGCATCCCTATACGTTGCTTCTATTCGTAAGATGGATAAACTACTAAGAACCAATACTCTCCTACACAGTCATACAATGTTTCTAATACTATCTAGTCATTCGATACAGACAGTAAAATAAATTCGTCTAATGAGTTCATATTATACTTTGAATGATGGATAGCAAACTCTTAACTACATGAGTGACATTTTTATAAATGTGACATTTCTTTTCAACACAAAACGATCTAATTGTCTCAGTAATAGTATTTTATTAGTCAAAGTATTAAGTAGTGTTACCATTAAGTTTCTTACAAATTTTTTGGCTTTATCATGTCTACCGTCTAGGGGCTGTCTGAGTTGTACATTTTTTTAGTCAGATTAGTTTCATTTCTATAGCTTATACCAATTTTTCGTTTTGTCAGATGCTTCCGTAGGTTCGACTGTAAACAATACACCTTTGATTACGAAAATGGAGCATCCTAACCCCTCTCATCACCTGAACGTCTCAAGACCTGTTTATGCTCCCGTGCCAATAAACAGAGAAGGACTGAATAATATCCCAAATTCGCCTCAAAGAGGTGCTGAGTGTCACAAAAATCAAGTCGTTTCAACGTCATTTAATCGGCATGCGCAAAATAATCCTTCTTTAAAGTCACTTATTAACCCATATGAACCACAAAATATAATGCACCAACCAGCACCAGATAACCTTACAAATGATGAGAAAATATTCGACGCGTACACCATATTTTCAAGACGCTGTGAACTTAAAAAAGCTCAAAAGCAGAACTGGATAAAAACCCCAAGATATTTCAGGCGTGGAATGAGGGGTGAAGTTAACCAGGGTTCAGGCACAAACTCCCAATTCCACAATCCAGCTGGAAGACGACTATCTGCTATTGCTGATTTTCTAGGTGTTAATGAACCACCTACCGAGAGAAAACGAGTTCCTACTTCAAACCACTTAGAATCGCATCCGGCCAGTACTTTACCTTACCATTCGTATTCCTCAAACACCTTTCAATATCCTTCAACTCTAAATAATCATACATCTTTTTCTCAACCTGTATGCCCTCCCGTGTATGCTAATCAGTCTACTAACCATAAAACCCCTTCGATTCCACTCAATCTAATGAATTTGCCCAGATCATTACCACCATATGCCACTCCTAATTCGTATACACCCACAAACCCACATACCAATAGTTCTTTTTGGCCTGTTCATCTCAACCTTGATTCATCCGTACCAAGTGCCTCACAGTCATTACAGTACTATAATTCTTCGTTTCTTCCTACATTCAAGTAACTTCATTTCATTTGATTTATTTGGAGCGTCTACCCAGTGATACTTAAACGGATTAAGAACTTTGTATATAAACTAGTCACTAAAAATGTTACGTAGCCATGTACATAGAATTGAATACATTTTTATCGATTTGCATGTTCTAATCACTACTTACGTGAAGTCTCAAGAAATCTACTTGTAATAAGTATCTTGAGATTCCCCGAAATTCCTTTCTATGAAAATCAGTCGCAAATGTTGTAAACACATGCCACTTTTTCGTACTCTATATTAGCACAGTAGGAGTGAAAAGCACACAAATAGTAATAATTATATTCTTAGTAGTAGTGAATTTGACTAGTTTACATGCAAACCACCACTGTTCACGCAGACACGTCAGATTAAGTGATCATTCAAGTGCTTAAATAGCTTGCATATATTTACAAGACCCATATAGTTGGGAGATTGCTCAGTTCAGAAATTAGATCATAAAGCCAGACCAATGACTATTAATGTATGGTACATTCGGTTCCTATATCCTGTCTTGTAGATATAGTGGCAGATTCAACCGCTCACTCATGACCGCAAAAAAATTAGAAGCCTGTTTCTTGGGCGTTTTCACAGACCAAACTCTTGCTGTTAAAGAAATGGTAGGGAAGAACGTTATGCACTGCATGCTTAGTTTGTATTTGAATTGATGTTGCCTGTAATAAGAATGAAGTAAAAACCTTAGTACTCTATTCCATGAAATTACTGACTTATGTTTAGCTTTATAAGAGAGAAACCCATGAGTGGCTCAAACGAAGCTACAATATAAAATACAGAGTACATGCTTAATTCATCTTTTTCCAACAGTAACTATTTTAATACCATTGTGTTTCTCATTATCTGAGTATTGTGGTATTTCGGGATACAATAGTGTAGGTCAAAGTGTAGTGAGTAGCGGTATTCCTAAGTACGAACCTTATTTCATACAGCGTTGTATCTAAAACTATTAAAGATGTCTAGTCCTGAAATACAGCTTAAGAGAAATGAAATCAATATTGATTCAGATGCATTTCCGTTACATCAAGTGATCTAGTATGGACTGTACGTAGGCTTTCGATACATTTTCAATAATATTTTGGCTTAGTAACGAATAATTAGTCCATAGATTCCAATGATTGTAACTGATATATAATCCATTGGTTAATATTTTCGGTTGGTGTACTGAGACCATTGTCGAAACGCTTCAATCTTTTTACTTCAGTTATGGTGCCAGTAAAGAAGAGGATAATCCTCTCGTTCACTGTATTGAAGTCGGGGTTGCGAAATATTACCATAGTGCACGGACGTATTAAAGACTACTAGTAGTTTTCGTCAGCTACATTGATCTAAACAGCGACTCGTATTGTTATACATTCCTCGTCACAATTGTAATGATATAAAATTACGTGAACAGTTCAACTCAATGACTAGAGAGCTGATAATGTTGCATCTACTATAAGCTTTTTCATACTTGTTGCTTACATATATAAAATTTAGCTGAATGAAACCGAGCAATAATTAATGAATTGTATTACCGAGTGACAAAACTATTTATCAATAATTCTTTATGTACGAATAAGTAAATCGTTGACCTTTAAATTCAGACTAAACCTTAGTTATGTTTCAAAGATTTCTTTTAGCAATAGACGTGCAAGCGACTGGAATCGGAACGTATGCTTTCTGAAATTAATTATTATTTATTCCATTTAAACACAAACACTGGTACAAGGGGGTACCAAATATATATGCGCCACACTTCATCATCCGATTTGTGCGAGGGCTGAGATACTGTCCGGGCGCCAAAACTGGAATCAATCACTCTATCAGATTGCTTTTTATAACCTGAAAGTTGTAAACTTTGTCTCTTCATGCATTTGAAGTATGTGATCATACAGCAGCATGACTTTGTTTTCCGGTTAAAAACCAACCCGCAATCATTGATGCTATAGTATCAATTGGTTTAAGAAATAATATACGTAGAGATGACCACTATATCAGAGTGACAGCTACGACTGAATTATGGGGATAAAAAGAATCTACGTGAATACAATCGTAAAGACGAGTAGGATAGATGTTATACTTGGAAAATTTGAATCCCTAATGACAGATAAAAAACATGTGTAAAGCTTAGTCTTGTTTCACATCTAGTTACAAGAGAATATGTGGACAATAGCAATCACTTATATAAAACCAAGGAATTAACCAAGGTCCATAGACACATCTTCATCGCTTGTGTGCAGCGATATGTTAGGAGCGTTAGCAGATTTTTCTCTATAATTAACATCCAACTGAAGCACCGATTTGTTAGGCTTTAAAGTCTCACTTGATGCCATTTTAAAACGAATCCGGTTGGATCCTGGGAGACTTCCTGGTCCAGCAGCAGTCATAAGGTTTTCAGGAAGAGTATCTGGAATATCTAAAACAATAGCAAGAGTAAATAGAATTCCTTGAGTTCTCCAAATTCAGCGACTGGATTTTAGGAAAATTGTAGCAAACATATAAAGGTTTATTATTCATCTTCATACGTAATATACAGTAATCCTAAACCCATAGTTGAATCTTTGTTTTGATTAGATCACTCAGGTACATAAAATGATTTATACTCTATTTTGAGCAAGAGCTATAGATTCACTGTGCGACCAGGAATGGTATTAATCTATTCTGATAAATAATCGAAAATGTGTACATCGGCAAACACGGCATACACACCATGACCATTTAAACAATGTTTCCTGTCAATTGAATTCTGAATCTAGCATCACAGTAGTCTGTAAAGTCTATAAAGCCTTTAAAATGTCTTAAAAGGCATTGACATTTTACCAACGCTCCTGGCACTATGAATTACATGGAAGCGATGGTGACAACTATGATGTTCTATACTTGCATATCACAACATCCATAGGGTTTCCATACAACACCAGCGTGCCATAACTCATATCTGGATAATAAATGAAATCTCCAATGATAGGATCTGAACAGTCAAATAAAATTTAAAGTGTAAGTAAGGTATCGCACCAAATTTTACATAGTAAGCCATAACAAGTATGGGATTAGAAATGGATCCTGACTGGTATATTAGTGTTTTTCAAAAGAAATTGTCCCGTCAAGTTTTTTTGGAAACGTGCAGCTCCTTGTATGCGAGAGGCACCTTCTTCTTCATACAGCAGCACATATCCCAAAGCTAATATTTCTGCCCAGCTTCCATCCAATGTGTTTCACGTATTTTAGGAACCGCCAGACTGTATTTTATTTTCACAGTCACTTGAAAGATCCTTTAACTTCCGATGCAGAGCCTAAATAGTCAAATGACTTTTCTGGCTGTCATTCTTTTAGCAAGATTTTTTTCTACGGGATAGAGTTGCCAATCTAATCCATAACCCTTCTTTACTCGGGCTTTGGACCGGTAGTGACTCTATAAGGGCTCCACGCTACTCCATACCCCTATTATTTCCTGACGCTAGGTGGAAAAACAGTAGAAGCAATCCATCTGTGGGACAGCAGCTGTTTGTTCATCATGGCTTTAGGAGAACTCATGAAAATCATGCAACTCAGTGGCATGAGATGTTATTATAATTTAGAATAGAAACTGATAGTCATGCATGTGTAGTTTCCCTTAATTGCGCTGCATGTTTTAATATATACTACTCTTATATTTACTAATTGATTAATTATATTGACAGTCGATATTTTGTGAGTAGAAATCTGTGTGCATACACCGTAATAGTGTATATCTATTTTCCTGCATTCACTTAATGTAGAAAATAAAAAGGCTGGTCGATTCAATTCACCCTTACCTTTTCCAACTTTATGATTCGAAGCATAAATTCCTTTCCCCGTTAACGCTTCAATACATACATTCAGCATTGTAGAAGCCACATTGCTAGAAGTAGACCCACAGCTCGATGGTTGGACCCCAACAGACCGGTGAAGATAGTCTACTGCAACTTCAAGGTTACCATTGATTGCATGCAACATTGCCAAGCACGCAAGTGTTGTTGGAGACTCAGGCACTAAGCGAAGTGCAAGTTCATGCATAGCTATTGCTTGGCTGTAAAGGCTAACTCAGTTCAAATAAAAGGGTTTTAACATATTTATGTAAAAGTACAGCGAACTAAGTAGTTAGTTATATACTAAATATACCAATACGCTCAACAATCATATGTACAACTTTTTGTCCTAATTATCTACAAATAATCATAATGACCGAAAATTGAAATGCCGCGATGAAAAACATATACAGACTGGTCAGGTGACTCAAGATAGATCTAAGCATTTTTGACTGATTCAGACAAAGAATGATAGTTATATTCCTTATTACAAGACAGTGTGAGCTTATTAACACTATTGGTATTGCGACAATATTTCGTGAGATTTGATTAAGGCTATTATTTCTCAAACGATTGTGATACGAAGTTTTCTTATATAAAATTTCAACGAAATAACACTGCGGTTGTGTCTTTATTGACAATTTTTTGTTTATGTTCGCGTGATTACTTGACAAAATATTTTACTGCCAAGAATAACCGTTATTCTGTTTTATACATGTGTTATTAGTTAGGCAAGTAATGTTTTTCACATATAACTAAATAACACTACACTTGCATTATATTCTCAAGTACAATTAAATCTCATTTAACAACAGTTAAACAGCTTAAACAAATATCACTAGGTATGGTCTGTTTATATCTACTAAATTGTGTGAGTTTTCAACTGACAAGAAACCTGTTAGAATAATAAGATACTAATATTTAAAACATTGTAGACAAAATTTCATTTACCCCATTTTCCTATAAGAATGTGCTAAATTATTAACAAGAGGCTCCCAGAAAGGCGAAGGAACTTGTCCACTTAATTCACAAGCCTTTTCATAAGCTCGAACTAGGAATCTTGTAGCGTCTACATATCTAAAAAGGAGTATAGAAAAAAGTTACTAATGAATTGTGATGAAGTAACTAAAATCTTTTAGTACTATTCTAATTAGTTCTGAATTTTTGTGTTATGGCTTAATCGGTTACAGTCTTTAACTTTCAACCACTTGACCAAAGGCTAAAATGCCCTGTGGCAGTGTCTGTCATTGAAAGGTGTACCTTAGAAGTGCATAAACCTTGTGAAAGCTTTTTACTCAAACAC